GAGCCCCCCCCGAATGGGAAGGGAGGTGGGGGGAAATGGGGAAATTTGGGATGAAAATTGGGATGGGGGGAAGAGGGGAACACAGTGTGAGAACCAGGGGAGGGAGATAATTTGGGGTCCTGGGGGGAACAAGGGGCCCCAATAGCAGATTTTGGGGGGAGACTTAGGTCAGCCAGTGGAGGATTTGGGGGTCCTGGAGTGTAGTGGGGGAGGGGAGGGGGGTTGTGAGGATTCCAGGGTGGCTTTTTTGGGGGTAAAAGGGACAAATTTTGGGGTGCTGCAGGAATCCCTGAGGTGCACAGGGTGGGATTTGGGGTGGGATTCGGGGGCTTTGGGGCTCATACCTCGAGGAGGAGGCGGAAGAGGCCAAGGGGGGGCGGGCGGGCGGCCTGCAGCAGGCGCCAGATGCTGGTGGCCTCATCCAGCGTCACCTCCAGGAGGTCCCCTTCCATCATCAGCTCCTCCAGCGGCCGCCGCGCGCCTTCCGGCAGCTCCAGCACCGGGCCGTGAAGCCGCGGCAGCGCTGAGCTCAGCGCCTCCAGCTCTGCGGGGACAGCAGGGGGACATGGGGACACTGTGGGGACACCATGGGACATTGTGCCATTGGGGTGTGGGGCCATCATGGGGACACTGTGTGCCATGGGGGAATAAGGATCCCTGAGCTCGTTTAGATTCCATGGGGCTCATGCAGGACCTATGGGGCTCCCATGGGATCTGTGGGGCTGGGATGTGACCCAGCGCCCCACACAGCCCCACCCCCACTCACCTGAAGGCAGGGGGCCGTTCTTCTCTGGGCTGGGGGCGTCACCGTTCTCCACAGAGACCTGGGAGGAGACGCGTGGTGTTATGTGGGGGTTCATATGATGTTATATGGGGGTCACAGCCCCGATGAGCAGCCCCCCCAGCCCCAACATCCGCCCTACAATCAGCCCGCACCCCACACCTCCTCCAACCCCAGCTGTTGCCCCAACAACCCACCACCGACCCCAAAAGCCCCCACTCAGCCCCACTCCCCCTTCTCCCCCCCCCCCACCTTGGTCTGCTCGTTGCCCCGTGCCTCCCGCAGCGCGGTGCCGCCGTCGCCGTGCAGCCTCTGCCGGATGGCCGCCAACCTTTCCATGGCTGCAGCCACCTCGGGGGAGGCCAGCAGCGCCCTCGCGCGGTCCTGCCAGGTGATGGCTCTCTCGGTCAGACACTGCAGGGCCTCTCCCTCGGGCAAACGCACCGGCAGCTTCTGCAGAGCCACCAGGAGGGCCAGGATGGTTTCCAAACGAGGGCGACGCGAGCGCTGGCACAGAGGGCACAGGAATTTGGCTTCCCATTCCCACCAGGCCGGGGAGGGTTTCTGGTTGGCCAAACGAGGCCAGGCCACACAGGAGCCGTGGAACCAATCTCGGCACAGCTGGCACTGCAGCATGGAGGGCCCGGCGGGCTGCCCGCAGACGCAGGACGGGGGGCCCGGGGCTGGGGGGGCGGGTTTCTGAGAGTTGGCGTGGCGGAGGCGCTGCATCCCTTCCTTCTCCTTCTGCTCGCCTTCCTTGAAGGCCAGGATCTGCGGGGTGGGGGGGGGGGGGGGGG